AGGATACTCATCATACTTTCTTGACACCCTTTTCCAATAAAAGGGAAAAAGAGGGCCACCTTCTCGATCATAAAAATATTTCCTCCCAACAATCGGATCTATCATTACATTAAAAGAATTGGCCTTGAAATTCTTATAAGAAGAAACAAGTTGTTTAAAGAGTGGTCGATCCATCCTTGTAATCAAGGATATTCCCCTTTAGGGAAGACCAAATGCAAAAAAAAAAGAGTAAAGAAATATAATAAGAGTGGGTTTGATATAATGAAACCGACATAAGACTCAGAAGGCCTGAATGGCAGCCCACCTATTTGAATGTTGTTGTGTTGGCGCTACAATCAAAATTCAAAGGACAAATATCTAAAATTCATCAAATGGAAGCACCACCAAAATTTTCCAAAAAGACACTCATAAATGTATAAAAAAAATAGAAAAAAAGTCACCCTAGCCTATTTTCTTTCCTAAAAATTCATAGTTCAAGTTGGGCAAAGCATCGGTTTGGTAATCACGCAATGAAATCGGACAGAGATCCTCATCCTCAAACATAGCTACAATACACATTCAAGTTTTCTATAGACCCCTACCAATGAAATTTAGAGTAGTATGAAACTACTTCATTGTCTACCCAAGTAAAATCGGGCAAAGTAACTAGGAAAAACTCCCCTTTTCCACTAGTTCAATTGTCAACGTTGCAATTCGAGACCTCTAAAGAACTAATATTCTTAAAGATCTAAACATGGCAAAAATAAAAAACAAACACTTTCAGATCATTCTCATAATTGCGGAAATTAAAAGAGCAACCTCCAGCCATTGTTGTTTGCTTGTTTTTTCAGGTTTCTGAACCCTTGCCCTCAATACGCGATGGTGTTGTATACTGAAGAGGAGAGTAGGCTCAGGGACCCAAAACAGAGATACGCGTTCAATTTATAGAACTCTAATCCATCGTAGAGCCTCTTTGAACGTTGGAGAAAATGTGCGGGAATCACGGTACCATATCCGCAAGTTATTTGATAATAGGTTGAAAAATGGACCACATTCATGATATGTTAACCGCAGCAAGTAAAAGAATCAGGAAAGCAACGTGAAAATCGGAAGCACGTTATTTCCTTTTACGTGGATGTTGCAAACGTGCTACTGTTGCAAAAACAGTTTTTCAAAATGACGTATATGCCAACATTCTCCCACTTGGTCCATTTATCCAATTATCAATCAAATAGGAAACCAAATATATGAATCATGGTGATAGGTCCTCTTGATAATGAGTATTATCTCCCATGTATCACAATATATTAAGTCTCTCATCCTAATCTCTTAGCTCTAATGAATAAACCATACGTTTATTCCAAGTCACAATTAATGAGTTTTCTCAAAGTAAATAGGTATGTGCACAAGATAAATGAGAAAAAATCAAACTAAATAAGAGTTTTAACAAGTAATTACAATGATTGTCACATCATGGAACCAAGTCCCATTCGAGTTACATGATCCTTAAAATTCTTTGGTGGCATGCCTTTAGTTAAAGGATTAGCAATCATTAACTCAGTGCTAACGTGCTCAATGAAAACTTTCTTTTCCTTAACATGTTCTCTTATGACTAGATATTTAATGTCGATATGCTTACTTCGACTTCCACTTTTGTTATTCTTAGCCATGAAAGTAGCCGCGGAGTTATCACAATACAACTTCAATGGCTTAGCAATTGAGTCCACAACTCTAAGCCCAGATATAAAACTCTTCAACCATACACCATGTGAGGTAGCCTCAAAACAAGAAACGAACTCAGCCTCCATAGTAGAAGTAGCAGTCAAGGTCTGCTTTCTGCTGCTCCAAGATACAGCTCCACAAGCCAGCATAAAAACATAGCCAGATGTAGATGAGTTTTTCTGGTATAAATGCACCCAGCGAAGTCTGAATCAGAGTAGCCTATCACCTCCAAACTATCAGTCCGTCTATATGTGAGCATGAAATCTTTTGTTCCTTGAAGGTATCTCATTACCTTCTTTGCAGCTTTTCAATGGTTAACACCAGGATTACTTTGATATCTTCCTAAAACCCCAACTGCAAATGCAATGTCAGGTCTAGTACAAACCTGA